CCGGCCTCGGCCCCCTCGGCCCCCGGGAGCGATCATCACCCGCACAGCACGGGGCCGCCCAGCCGAGAGCAGAGCATTATATCCCCCTCCATTCTCAGCAGCAGCGGTTCGACAGCTAGGTGACGTCACTATCAGAGAAAAATGCTGGTGAAGGCGATCTTGCAGACCCCTAGGCTACCGTTCTCTACTTCTCTTTTTAGACTAGCTGTCTCTACCCGATCCCGATAGGTATGGAAGTTTCTCGTTTGTTTTCGAGAAACATTGCCGATTAACGTTTTTCTTTTCTCGCGCCCGTTCGACACTCACCCGTCCTTGTGCTCGGCGGCCCGGTCCCGCTGCCGCCTGTTCTTGAACCAGTTGGACACCTGCGTGGTGGTCAGCCCCGTGGCCTCGGCCAGCTCGCGCTTCTCGCGCGGCGAGGGGTAGGGGTTGTGCTGGTACCAGTCCCGCAGCACGGACCGCGACTTCTCCTTAAAGCAGTAGCTGGTCTCCTCGCCGTCCCAGATGGTCCTGCGAGACGAAAGAAAGTAGGGTCGTTATCACCATCGACGTCACGAGGAACACTCAGAAGACCGTATCGTTCCTGGTATGAATTTATAACTTTGCAGTAATCAACCAAATTTTAATTGCAAAAAAGGAATAGTTTTCAGCTCAACAAAATTAACTGATTGTACAAACTTTTCTTTGTTTTAAACATTTAATTTTTTGCAACTGAGCGACGAAAAAGTTTTACTTAGGTTTCTGGTCCGAAACCAATTCAAGCGGTTTTCTGGATGAACAAGGGGCATGATTTTCTCTTCGAACTCACTCACCTCGGCAGGGGGAACTTGCGGCGCACGCGGTACTTGCCCACGGCGCCGAGGGGCCGGCCCCGGAGCTTCTCCGCCTCGACGTAGTGCGCCTTGAGCCAGAGCGCCTGCAGCTTGGGGTGGTTGTGCGGCGAGAACTGGTGGCTCTCCAGCAGCCTGTACAGGTCCTGCAACACACGACAAGAGTCACACTTGTTTATATAGGGCAGGTCAGGGTCGTCATAACTGTCAGGACGCGCCCGTCAAAGTGGTGTGAGCAGCAGGTCGTCGGATACAGATCAGCCTCAATCACGACGCAACGCAGGCGCGTCCGGCGAGGCAAAGAAGAGAGAGGGGGTGGAAAGAGAGAGAGAATGATCTCGTCACCGGCCGCGCCGGACCAATCGTGTCGGCTTTCACAACACTTTATCGACGGGTGTCATCTGTCTGGCACGGGCCGCGCCGGCCCCAGCAGCGCCCGGCAGCGCCAGTACAGCAGCAGGACTACCTCAAGGGGTGTCGCGTTGTCTGCCCGCGGCCCCGGGGCCCGGCCCGGCCCCGCCCGGCCAACGCGCTGGCGGTGACCCCGCCGCCCGCCCCGCCGCCACTGATACGACTATCGGCCCCAACGGCTTCGTCAGCCTGCCGGGTGCAGTACAGGGGGGCAGCCTCCGTCCCACTCACAGCATAGGACCACGGCAAAGACCACCGAGCCCCGTGGGGGAAATCACACAAGAACGCAACAAAATGCCGCAAAATTCAGCGAAGCGTACAGAGAGTCAAAATGCATTCCAGCTGTTACACCCATCCTCTCTCTCTCACTCTCTGCTTCCCCCTCGCCGAAATGGTCCAAGTGGGCTTGGACGTGTAATTTCCCCATAACTGACTGCAACACAACAGCCTCAATCAGGAGGAGGAGGGCGAGCTGGACGGGCCGACTGCTGCTGCTGCTGCACCGCGCCGCCGTCATTCAGAAAAGAACATCGCGCCCATTGTTGTTTACCGGCCTGTCCCCCTCGTTAGGGGAGACCAGGAGGCCAGGCCGCGCCACAAGGAGGCCACGGCAAAGGCTCGCGCGGTGCGGAGCAGAGCGCAGCGCAGCGCGGATGACGACAATGCAAAAATTTCATTAAAATTTAACAACCGCGAGCGGCGGCCCCATTTACAAGGCGATGGAACAAGCGGTGCGCCGGCGACGCTAACGACCCGTTGCAACCACCCGCGGAGGCATGGGCGTGAGGGTGCCGACGTCACAGGAGGGAGGGGGTCACACCTCAACGCCGGCGCTGCGCTGGCGCGGTGGGTGCTCGCGGGTGGGCGCAGGGGAGGGTGGAGAGGGGCAGGGGGTGCGTCCAGGCCAGGCCGCCGTTCCGTGAATGGGGAGCCCTGGATACTACAGTACAGTACGCGGCCGCGCCGCTGGTCTCTAACTCCCGCGTGCCGCCCGGGTCTTGTCCGAGCCGGGCATTGTCATTATCAGAGTCATTGCGGCCGGGGCAAGGCGCTGGCTGGTGCCGAGTGGCGGGGCGGGGCGGGGCGGGCGGTGTGGGGCTGAATGGAGCTCTTGGGCCGCGGGACTTGGTGCGGCTGCGCGCCCGGTCCGGGGTCCGGTACGTGGAAAGCCAATACTGAGATGATTGCTCTGCAGAGGCGCTGCCCTCCTCCTCCGGGTGCCCCCCCCCCTCTCTCTCCCCTCGCCCCCGCAAAGCTCCGCGAAAAGTTCTGCGCGCCGCTCCGACTTGGTCAGTCTGGTCGGACCCGGCCGGACAACGTCCTCGTTCCTTCTTTCCACGGCTATTTCTGATTTCCGCCCCGCAAAGGGCCTCGGCCCGTGCCTTGCTTTTCTCTGAAAAGTGCAGCGGCTGCGGCAGCTGTGCTGGGCGGCCGGAGAGCTCGGCCCCCCTGGCCCTCCTGTGCCGCATAGCGAGCCGGAGAATCAAGCCGTGCGCCGAAATTAGGCATTGCAAATGTGTAACAACATACTGCAAAAATACTTTCCACTGCACACAACATAATGCAACAAATCTTACGCAAAACAAAATACAAAAGGTTTTCGTGTGAATGAATGGCTATGTTGTATTACAGGGTTGCCGTTTGACGTGAACTGACGCCGTTAAACCCCTCATTGAAGTTAAAATTGAAGTATTGCCCCGAGCATCGAATCTTATCACAGCGCCTTGAGGGATTTAGGGCGCCGTGTGAATAGGCAACCCGAACGCACTCCTGTATCCGAGCTAGTCTACCCCCATTCGAACCGACGGGGCACAACGGCCACCATGTATAGAAGAACGCGTGCACATTCAGGCACAGAATGTCACTGATAAAAATCCTGGCATCAATTCTCATCATCCGACTCTGACCGTCAGTTCGTGTGGTGACGGTCGTCGTGACTGCGCGCCCGCCCGCACCATCCGCCCTCACCCTCCCTGATGCGGCCGCCCCCGCCCCCGCGCTCGCCGCCTTCATCCCCCTCACGCAGGGCTGGCTCCCACTTGGCCGTAGTCAATATTTACCGACTCATCGCAAGGTCCCTCCCCCTCCCCGGCCGCTGCGCACCGGGCTATGCTGTG